TTATACTTTATATATTTATGTAAGTCAGTTGTTATTATATTTTGGATAAACATACTTTTAAGTGGCACAGCACTCTTCTGTCAATATGCTGTACTGAGGCAACCCAGGGTTGCTGTGGTGCTGAACCTTGTGCCATTGGGGTATCAAATGCCATAACGGTTACCCATGGTGGACAGTGTTTGGTGGAGCTCCTAGTTTAAGACAGGCTTAGAAGCAAGAGTGGAATCCATTTCCTAAAAAACATGCCTCTGGAAACTCTATGAACTTTGATAACTGGTGATAATTGTAGAAAGACCTCAGGCCTTTTGTTCATAGGTCGCTATGAGTCATGCTCGACTTGACAGCAATCAACAACAACAACAACAACTATATATATGCACAAAAGCATGTGGAATTGAAGGAAGAAGTTAAAGCTTTTCTGAAGGAATTGGCAAAAACCAAGGTCCCAAAACTTGACAGTGTATCCATTGACATATTTCAATAAACAGGCACTGCCCTGGATATGCTCACCTAGTTGTGCCAAGAAATCTGGAAGACAAAAACCTGGCAAACTAACTGAAAGAGATTCATATTTATCCCCATTCCAAAGAAAGGTGATCTCACAGAGTGCAGAAATTATCAAACAGCACATGAGCAGAGAACTGCCAGAAGTGCAGGCTGGGTTTAGAAGAGGCCATGGTACTAGGGATACTATAGCTAATGTTAGTTGAATCCTGGCTGAAAGCAGAGAGTATGAGAGGAATGTCTGTGTTTCATTGATTATGCAAAGACATTTGACTGTGTGGATCACAAAAACTGTATCTGACTCTGAGAAGAATGGGAATTCCAGAACATTTGATTGTGCTTATGTGAAACCTATACTTGGACCAGGAGGCAATCATCAGAATAGAGCAAGGAACCATTGCATGGTTCAATATCAGGAAAGGTGTATACCAAAGATGTGTCTTATCTCAATACCTTATATGCAAATCAGATCATCTGGGGGGTTGGGCTCTATGAGGAGAATTGTGGCATCGGGACTCATCAACAGCCTGGGTTATAGAGACATCACAACCTTGTTTGGTGAAACTAAAACTGTGGAGAGACTGAAGCATTTGCTGCAGAAGGGCGAGGACTGCAGCCTTAAATATAGACTGAAGCTCAACATCAAGAAAACAAACTTTCTCACCACTGGGATGATTGGCAGCCTCATAGTAGATGGTGAAGAGATTGAGATGGTTAACAGTTTTAGTTTACTTGGCTCTACAATCAACACTCTTGGTACCAGCAGCCAGAAAATCAAAAGATGAATTGCGTTGGGAAAGTCTGCTGTCAGGGATCTCTCCAGAGTACAAATGCACAATGTCAGTCTGGAGACTAAGGTGCCCCTGATCCAGGCCATGGTCTTTGCAGTTACATGCTATGCAATAGGAAGCTGGACAATGATTAGGAATTATAGAAAGAGAATTGATGCTTTTGAGCTGTGGTACTGGAAAAGAATATTGAATGGACTGCTAGGAGAACAAACAGGCTTGTCCTGAAGAAGTTGAAACCAGGCTGATCTTTGGAGGCAAGGATTCTGAAGCTCCATCTTACATACTTTGGGCATGTTTCAAGGAGAGACCAGTTCTTGGAGAGGGGCATCATGCTTGGAAGGGTGGAGGGCCAGCACAAGTGGAAGATCCTTGATGAGATGGATTGAATCAGTGACTGGTGTAATGGGGGTAGGGGGGTAGGTGTGTCAGAGACAATAAGTTTGGTTCAGGATAGAGCAGAGTTCAGAGCTGTTGTTCATAGTGTCACTAAGAGTCACAAGCAACTCAATGGCACAGAACAATACATACATAGCTGCACTTCAATCCCAAAGGCACACAGTTCAAATCCACCAGCTGCTCCACCAGTGAAAGATAGGCAATCTCCTAGAATGTGACTTACTGCCTCTGAAAACCCACTGGGGAGGATCAGCTATGAATTGGTTCTGACATGATGGCCCACAACAATGGTGTTGCTTAACGGTCATTTCAATATGATGCCCTTTATCCGAGTTTACCATAGAGTTTGGGGAATATGTCATCACCTGTTTGAATGAATAGAGCAAGATTATTCACATTTACCCTTCTAGAAACATCATTATGTGAAGGATCAAGATATGCTTGTAAGATAGGCTTTTTTTAAAGCCAGTTTTCCAGAATTCCCCTGAACTTAAAGTAACAACAAAAAACTATATTCCCTACCACAAAACTGCCATGGCACTTCCTCGGTCAAACAAAGTGTTCTGTTTAAGCTCTGCTATTAAATGCCTTTTCAATCCATCTTTCTGTTCATGAAAGCAGTGAATAAGAAAACACCATGCTTCAGAAATCTAGAAACATCATCGTGTGAAAATCTAAAAGCAAAAGAACTGGAATAGTTTTGGAATGAGGTACTTTGTTCTTACAAAAAATTGACAGCTTCCTCCAGCTTGATTGTCCCGTTCAAAAGAAAGGCAACAATTTAGTCTATTTTTTAGTCCTGGAAGAAATCTTGTGGATAAAAACACATGTCTAATG